ATTTCATAGGTTTCATGATATGGCTATAAGATATTAGTAACAGTCGCCAACCTCAAATACATGTCCCCACCCAATTTGGCTCCAAAGTTTTTTTTTTTTAATTAAAAAAAAAATTATAATTTCACAACCATTTTTTTAAATTTTAATTATCTACCTTTATAATGATTAGGATATAATAAAATATATTAAAAGTTTACAAACAACACAAATCAATCATAATTATTCTAAAAAATCATAAAATTAAATAAATAATAAAAATGATTAGTTAAAGTTACTGTAATAACAAAAACAAAAAATATATAAAAATATTTTAATTCAAATATACTAATTTATACATAAACTTAGACAATCCTAAACTATGAACATTTATTTCAAAATAACTTAGAAACATGAATAAATCCTAATTAATAAACTCATGCTAAATCATATTTTTAAATTAAATAAATATTTGTATTTTATAATAAACAATAATATCATATGGTATTGATAATTTGGTATAAAGGTATAGGGAGATGTAGGGATTGGAACAAAAATATCTTTTGCTGGTAACTCAGAAAACAACAATAATAACTAGTTAATCAACAAACACTTTGTCCCTAAATTTACAAGAAAATCCCACATTATACACAAAACTCACTTCTTCTAATCGACCAATACCCTCCCCTAAACATTCATTAACATAGCAAAAAAAAATTCAAATTACACCACACGATTCAATTACATCAAAGTGTCAGATTAATCATAAGACTACTAATAAACCATAAAATTCATATCCGATCATCAAAATCCTTATCCAAACAACACATACTCTATCGGATCTTTTGACCCAGCTACACAAACCAAAACACCAATTCTTGAAACACACAAAAACAATTTATTAAAATTAAATTTTAAAAAAAAAAACCTCAAAGATCATATACAATACACAATTAAAAAAATTACAAAATTCTTCCAATCCCGAGATTGTGTACCTGAAATAATCGGTTGAAATTTTACCATGATTGATAGATGAGATGAGATTAGATCAGATCAGAAAGAAGTGTATCGGAGTGGATGATTAGCTCATGGATTTAAACTTTGACCTTGTTATATCTAAAGTATTTAATCAATTTTTGGTTTCGTGGCCGATGAATAGGATTTAATCAATTGTTCTGTTGACGAGTTAGGGTCGTGTGTGTCTACATTTCGAGAATCTTATTCTATTGGCTATTATACATTCTATCATTTTTTAATTTTGATTATATTATGGATTTGAATTAAAAGTTTAGAAATTCATGAGACATTTTTAATACTCAATGCTGAAAATTTTAATTTACGAAATTTTAATGGATTAGATTGACACAAGTTCTCGAACTCATGTAATTAATAAATAAAAAATATATTGTATATTTAAAAGTTGGAGCTATACTTATACAAATGTTTTTAAATTTACCCTCATAAATTATACCATCCTATTTCAAAAATTAAAATTTGATTTTTTCATACTAAAGTTTTAACCCGGTATAAATTTTTAAAAATACTTTAACATAATATTCTATTAGAACATTATTGGATACTTAAAATATTTTTTTTAATTAAAAGAAAAAATAATTTAATTTTTATTACACTTCTATTATTTATTTTCAATATAATTTAAATTTAGATTTTATTGCTATTTATCTTTGTATCATTCATTTTCAATCAAACTTAAATTTAATGTTCGGTTATGTTTTATTATTAATTTAAAAACAAAAATTGTAATAGAATTCCTTTCTAAATTTGAAAATATATTTATATCATATGTTTTTATTTTCATTTAAATCTTACTTCCATCTCTTTTTTGTTTTAAAAGTAATTTTTATTATAATATATAGTCTCACTTTTCTCACTTTCACACTCAATTCAATATTTTGACGGTAAAATTAAAAAAAAATTCCGACAAACCATCAATAATCAAAATAAATAGTTCTCGAAAATAGCAAAAATTATTACAGAAGTTTTAGAGGCAATGGGAGAGATATGTTTGGTCTCACAATTTATTGGAGAAAATAGATTACTATTTTTTCATAATTCAATTGTGGCTATAGTTAAAAAAAATTCCGACAAACAATCAATAATAAAAATAAATAGTTCTCGAAAAGATGTCACGGAGATGTTGGTATAGTTGGAGACAATAGAGAGATATTTTGGTCGCACCATTTATTGGAGGAGATAGATCACTATTTATCGGAATTCCCAATTGTGGCTATGTATACAGAATTAAATTAAACTGGTGGGAAGTAGTTTTGGATGTATCTTTCTTAGGAATTTTAAGATAAGTGTTTCAGAAGAATTCTATGAATGCCCCAATTTAACTCCAATGAAAATGGAAAATGACGTTTAATTTTCAAGATTTTGTAATATGGAAGGTGTTTCCATTTATTTCTAAAACATAAACGATTTAATTTCAATACAAGGAGCTATTGAATTGCTCTCCAAAAATTTGGTAGACAATTTAACCCTATGATTGGAAATGGTAGAATACATGGATGGATAACAGTTCATAGATGGTTTGACATACACTATCTAATGAAGTTTACCAACATAATGTGCATGCCTACGTCCATGTCTATCTTCGCCACCATTGCTACACATCTATTAGAAAACAGTGACCGACCTCAAATATATGGCTCGGTACACTGACTACCTTCTCAATGGCAACCTAGGCTTAAAAAAACTCACGAACCTTCTCCAAGTTAATCGCATTGGTACTCAATGACAACCTAAGCTTAGAAAAACTGGCGAACCTGCTCCAAGTTCATCGCATTGTTAGTGCACACTTTGCTTGGTCTACCGTTTGCTTACCGCTCCAGTTTATGCCAAGATGAAGTCATTTTCAAGGTTTAACCAAAGATATACAAAAAGACTTTTTATATGGATTTCGATATCTCATTCAAGGTTTTCGACGACCATTTGTAATTGTAGATTCATCCAAGTTAAGCGGGTTGTATCTCACCCTATTATATTTAAAAACGGTGTGTTTTTACGTAGAAGGGTATATATATATTCAACTAAAAATTATTTAATTTAAACCTTCTTTATTTTGAAAAATAATTAAATGCTATGGATTTTTAAACAAATTTAAAAGTTTAATCTTTATTATACTCAAGAATTTTATTAATTTAATCTCTATTACACTTTTATCATTTATTTTCGATGGAAGGAACATATAATTTTTGTTGTTATTTTATTATTAATTTGAGTTTCCCATAAAACTTAAATTAATGCCTTTTATTTAATGTATGAATCATCCTTTAAGATTTATTTAATTTAAGAGATTTTGATCGAATTACGATATGGAGGGTGTTTTTTCACTGAAGAGAGATTTGATTTTAATAGACTGAGAATCCAGTTTAGCTTTAACCTCATAGTAAATAATTTTTATTACACTTTTATTTTTATTTTTTATTTTTAATCAAACTATTTGTTATTATTTTATTATTAATTTTTTAAAACGATTGTAACAGATTTCTTTTTTAAATTTGAAAATATATGTATGTAATGTATTTCTATTCTCATTTAAGATAATCTTACTCTCCTTCTCCTTCGTTTATGGGTTAATTTTTATTATAATATAACATATTTCTCTATTTCTCGAAAAAAATAGTAATGAAATAGTATTTACGAGAGTTACCAATTCATGATACAGAGTTTTTCAGGTAAAAATTAAACTTTAAGTTGGTGTGGGAAGTCATTTACTGATTTTTTTAGTTTTGTTTTACTGATTTGAATGTATCTCTTCTTTTAGTATTTTATTTTCGATTTTGATCAAATTAACCGTTTCTTCACTACGTTCATTTCTTGATTTCAATTAACTTAGTAGCCATGTAATTGCTCCACACCAATGATACAGTTTAGCCCTATCACTTTCCAAATACTGATAACATTTCATGTATTTTATAAAATAGCCTGAACTTTGCCAACATAACATGCATAAGTCTATTGCTATCTTCGCCACCACTGGTAGACATTTATTAGGAACAGTTATCGACCTCAAACACATGGCTTGTTACTCCGACTACCTACCAATCTACGCAGTTTAGCGTCACCTTAGGAGTGGTCGAATACAGATAACATTCCTTGGACTTTATGACATTGCCGATGAAGTTTGCCAACATAATATGTCTACCTGCGTCCATCGCTACCTTCGACCCATATACCTCAAACACATGGCTCGTTACTGCGACTACCTACTCAATGACGCTACCTTCGACCCATATACCTCAAACACATGGCTCGTTACTGCGACTACCTACTCAATGACGCTACCTTCGACCCATATACCTCAAACACATGGCTCGTTACTGCGACTACCTACTCAATGGCAACCTAGGCTTATAAAAACTGGCGAAGTTGCTCAATCGAGTCATTCTCAACGTTGAATCAAATATATATGAAGGCTTTTTACATGGATTACCTTTTCCAATTTAAGGTTTTCGACGACCAATTGTAATGGTAGATCCATCTACATCAATCCAGAAGCACACATGAAAGCCTTCCAATTTTGTAAATTTTTTAGAGGGTATGATAAACAAGTCGGTTGTAATGGTGGATTCATCCACATTAATCCGAAAGTACACAACCTTTATATTTTTTTTGTAAAGGTGTGACAACATCTCTAGGTACACTTAGCTGATTATAAACTTGTATAACATCATAACAATTGTACATGTATTAATGTATATAAATTCATATTTATTTAACAATTAATTTTTTTTTTTTTTAAGATTTATTTGTATTTTATCAAATATATTTGAATGAAAGATATTTAATTTAAAAATGGAGGTTTCTATTTATTTATTTATTTATTTATTATATATATATTATTATTATTATTATTATTATTTATTTGAAAAATAATTTATTTTAAATAGAGGTAACTCTTATTTACTATAATTGCAATTAAATAATAATTAAGCAAAAATACAACTTTTCCCTTTCCCACTCCTTTCTTTCAAATCACCCGAAACCAGTTAGCTGATCGATCGCAAACAAGCTAAAACCCTGCGGCCGCAACCGCTAGGAGCTTCCCGTCGACCTGATGTCATTTCGTTCTTCTGCAAGGAATATGGCTTTCAGGTTCCGGCGACTCAGAGAAATCTCAAAGTCGTTGCCTCAATTTTACTCAGGTACTCCTCCGCCGATCCGTGTTCATCTTAATTTGAATTTGATTCGAATATTCGCTTGCTTGGTTTCATCTATTCATCTTCAATTTTTTCTTTATCTGATTGCAATTTTTCTTTGTTCGAGTCAGGATATTACCATCAGCATCATCATAGGCATGCTGTTAGCTCATTGCCATTTTCCGTCGCTACATCTTACGTTTCTGAGGGAGTTGATAGAAGGATTTTAGACAGTGGATGCCACCTTCGGCGGTATATATGATTCATATGTTTACAGCTTTGCTAGATTTAAATTTTGTAGCCCTGCTTGTACACTATGAATTATTACAGTTTTACTTTACGAAGCAGAACCAGTTGTTTAAAATGTTTCGAGTGGTTATGAGTGTTGTTAGACTATAACTATTTGGGAGAATTTACCCCGAGAGAGAGCCATTAAGGATAAACGATCAAAGAAACTTTCAAAATTGATGGCCTTGTCCTCGAACATATGTCACTTCTCCCCACCCAAATCAAGCAGAAAAAAACCTATTTAGATATGAGAGCCTTATTCTTCAACTTTAAGTCTGTTATGCCTAAGCGGCCTTCAGACTTTGGAAGCTTAACCTTTTGGCAACGAATGAGATGAGGTGTTTCTTTATCCCGACCACCATTCCACATAAAGTTGAGGTAGTATTTTTTCAGTGTAGTCTGGCTTTGTTGGGAGATAAAATAAAAGCTGTAATAGGTAGGAAGATTTTAGAAGGGTGACTTGAATGAGGGTAAGGTATCCACCCATAGAAATGTGATTCGGCAGATTTTGATTCCTATATATCCACTCATGTGGTACTTCATTGGATGATATATATAAGATCCATATGTATTGATATTATCATCTACATCCAGAAAGCCGTATGCTTTGGAAGAAGCTTGTATAGTTTGGGAAGGGGTTTTGATTGATCAAAAAGAAGAATCTACTTCAACCGATATGCCCTTAGACACGACCATACATAACATAGAAATCACACTTGGGAAGGGGGGACAATTAGCTAGAGCAGCAGTTGCGGTAGCAAAACTGATTGCAAAAGAGATAATCAAGGGTTCCTATTTAGGAGCAATACCAAAAAAATTATCGGCCAATGTCCCATTTTAAGGCAATGGTCAGAGAAGATGGGGTGGTCAGAGAAGATGCGAGGGAGCCTCTTGGCTAGAGCATTCTTGAATATATTAAGGCAAGGATTGGTAATCAAGAATTGGTGAATCCATGTCATGGATGAATTATATGTAAAACTGACCAACTGAAGACCTATAGGTCGGTAAATAAGCCCAAGTACCATTGCGCCAGGGGCACTTTTTAGCTTCATGTTTTTAATAAAGGGCCAACCACTCGATTTTTCAAAACACCATCTCATTATACTAAAATCACCTCCTAAAATCCATTGGTTCGTGTAAAATACATTCAACTATCTCAGCTTTAATGAAAAATTCCCGAGGGTTCTTTGGAATTTTCTTTGATCTTTGTTTTGTTTAGTACAAAAATGTGGTATATGTTGAATGACTTTTACTTGGGCCATGAAGATACCATATAGTAATAGCAGAAGCAGTATACTAAAGTTAGTTGTGTTCTTCAATTATGCTTTCACTGTTGATCTTGAGTTTGTTAGGTGGTACTATTACTTGGTTCGTAGTTTCAACCTTGTAAATTTTGTTTGTCTATCTGACTTATATTCGACAGTCATTTTCAGGTTTTCCACAACAACGGAGCTGCAGTGCAAGTCTTCTCCCGCAAATGACATTTTATCCTTCATTAAGTCAACCCTTGATGAATCTGAAGGTTGTACATTTTCCTTTTCTTCGGACCTCCTTTTCTTTTCTATCAATACCCCTACCTGCCATCATAGTAAAGGTTTAAATTTATGTTTAGACAAGCCATGATATTTTAAAATATAATCATTTTTTTCTTGAAAGAAAATCATTTAATATATTTTTATATGGAGATTTTACATGTTGTTTTGTTACTTTTTTTTTTCTGAAATAGTAAGCTGCTGAACCTCAGAAGCACAATTTACACAATTACAAGATTTGAAAAGTTCCTTTTAAAATTGCAATGGAATGCATTTTCTCGTTTATTTATTTTTGTGCAAATGTGCAGGCCCTAACCACTATTGGTTGAATATATGTGATGGAAATAAAGGAATATCTGAGAAGGATAGAATCTACTTAATTCTTGCTGATCAATTTCTAGAAATGACGAGTTCGGATTCTGTTGTTTTGGTCGAAAATGTAAAGTTCCTTCAGCACAGGTAATGGAAGTTCATTTTAGGATCTCACTACTGCTGTAGGGCAGTAGACTGATCTGGAATTTTCTTTCTTTATAGGTTTCCTCAGCTTCATGTGATTGGGCTTCAGTGTTCCAATACTCTATCTGTCGTTGAAAAAAGTGAGATGATCCAATTTATAATGAGGGAATATGTTTCCTTTCCCATTTTGTTATCCAATAAGATTTTTGAGGTGAGTTTAAAGTGTTGCTTTCTCTTCCTTATGTATGTATTTAGATTGGGAGATAGAATAGGGAATCGATGATTTTTCTTACCTCCTGGGTTATTGTTGGGACTTGTATAACATTATGTTAAACCTCCAATTACAAAAGTATATTCTAGGAAGGGTAAAAAAAAAAAAAAAAAAAAAAAAAAATCTGCTTCAAGTGATGGTTAGAATGGATAATTATTGTATTTAGGATAGTGTTTGACAGTTATTGTATTTAGGACAGTGTTGGACTGATATTGTGTTTAAAAGTTTGATCTTTTCTTTAAATACGTTTGGTTTGATCTTCTGTAGAATGGGATATGGGATATGTGCAGTTTTCTTCTCAAAGTCATGTAGGGAGAGAAGATTGGCTCTCTTGAACGGTTTAATTTGTTTAATTAGCGAAGATTGGCCCTCTTGAACTGATTAATTTGTGATAGGTTGTAATCTCTTTCTTTTTCTTCAATAATATTTAAAAGAGATGTTTGTCACATCTCATTTGAGATGGGTATCAACTATAATGGGATAAAACGTTCTCAAAGATGGTAAAACGGCAGAAGGGTGAAATCAGTTCATGTTATACTTGTTGTATCGGGGCCCTAGTCTTTTTATTATATGGTTTGCTCATCACCCAGCATTCTAATCTCTGAAGTGGCTTTGTCCACTATGAGGACAGAATTGGATGCTTAAACTCAAAACTTAAGAGAAAATCTCCCTTTTCATCAAGGCCACCCCTTGGAGGTTCTAGGCATTGATATGTTAACGTCTCATTCTAATCAACTGGAATGATGTTCATGAGTTTTTCATCATCAAAGAAAGTCAATGGCACTTAGACGAGCATATTTTTTTTGTCTTTTCTCTTAAAATGATTTATCACTATTTTCCTCTGTTGTGAACATTTACTGCAAGAGTGCCCAGTTCTAATACTGTTGACTGATTCAGTTTCTGAATCTCTTGTTGTGCAAATAGATGGGGAGGGGGCTCTGTTATATTATCTCCAAGGACTACAGTAATCCTTTGCTCATCAGTGAGAGGGACACAGACCTTAATGTTCTTCGGAAAGGTATGCATCTTTTTTCTTGCTCTTGGCGCTTTTACTGCAACATTATTTTTAATTACTATTGAGTCTGGATTCTGGTCATTTTGATGCATTTTATCCTCGTAGCTTGCTGTTGTTATTTATTTATTTATTTATTTTTGGATTAAAGACAATTCAATGCTGAATATGTCTCTTTGTTTTCCATAACATCTTTGTTTATGTAAGTAGTCATTTAATTGATGTTTACGTTATGCATGCATATATATTTCCTAGTGTTCATTATTCTCACACCGTATGCACATTCAGCTATTGAGGAGTTGCTTGAACCAGAAAATGAGAAATCTGGTCTGCCGAATATTGGGAGAACTACTTATCTGAAACATGCGGAGATCATTAAAGAACCATATTCATGTTCGTTCATGCAGAATTTTATTCTCCACTTTCCAGGTACAGCTTTCAAAGAGATGTTTTTCTCTTGTCCTATATTCCCTAGAGTAAACATCCCTGGAAGCAAAGCTTTTCTCTCTACAAAGGAGTTACTACCACTTGGAAGACTCTTTTTCATGGCAATCAACATTTTATGATGTCTTCGATCAATTTCCACTGTCACAGGCTGTATATCTGCTGATGAAAAGGGTGGCCGACTCTTCCTTTCCGATAGCAATCATAACCGGATTATTATATTTAATGGCAACGGGAAGATCCTGGACATGGTATGTTTAATATTTAAATATTGATCCAGTCGGTGATGATTAGGTACCAGATATCCCTGTTTTTCTAGGTATATTAATAACTCGGTGAGTAAAAAAATGGATAAGGTATTCTATTCATTATTTATAATTGCAGTTACTTTTCTTCTTCAGTTCTCTCTATTCCTTGGATGCCACAAAAATAATGATGGTTGTGTCATTAGAACTTGAAACGTTATGATTATAATTTTAGGACCTTAATTGAACGGGACCTGTTCTATAGGTTGCATATAGGTCGCACTACTGCATCCTTGAGTTCTATTTAGTTCTGCTTCTAACATAAAGGTGTAGTTTCAAGACCGTTGGTTCGTTCAATCATTTTAGACTAATACACTATTTATTTACCATCCTTATATCTCACAACTCATTACCGCATTATTGCATTACATTGTTGACATGCTTACATTTTTATATGTCAGATTGGTTCTTATCCAGGTTTTGAGGACGGAGAATTTGAATTGGTCAAATTAGCTCGTCCAGCAGCTTCCTTTTATCATGCTACTCAGGATTGCCTGTATTTTGTGGACTCTGAGGTACGCACTAGTTCATCCCGACAATTATTTGAACTTTCAAGTCCATGTGAGACCATTATCAGAATTAGCTTTAGTCCATTGTGTAAGCCGCAGATTCTATATTTCCGTCTGCAAGTAAAAGTTCGAAATGATGAGAAAAAGATATCCGTGTGAAATAAGGTGACAGGCTGGAGACCTTTTTTTTTTGTTTGTCAAAAAACATCGCCATAAAATTAAAATTATTGTTTTTTTTAAATGTTTCCTTTGAACAAGTGACCCCAAATTATGTTTCTGCTCATTTGTAGACATTTTAGTTGTTTGTTCTTGAAAATTCCACTACCTATCTGTCTCTGTTAACTTCAATGATATTAGTCAGTTTATCTCTCAGCCGCTCTAATAGTCTCTTAAATTTTTACTGTTATTTAATTTTTTGACTATACAGAACCATGCCATTAGGAAAGCTGATTTGGGTAAGCGCGTTGTTGAAACTCTCTATCCAGCAAACTACTCAAGTACGAAGAGTACTCAGTTATGGAGCTGGATCAAGGACCGAATTGGTTTGGGAAGCCTTCCCGACAGAGAAGTGGAAGATTTCAATCCGCAGTCTCTGATGTTTCCTTGGCACATGATTAAATATATGGATGATAGATTATTAATTTTAAATCGCAGGTAGAGTGGAAGTGTGCACAATACATTATTTTATTTACTCAACAAATGGATCATTTGTTATATGTTTTTACAGTTTTTCCCCTTGCTGTACATGATACCATATATTTCTTATCTGAAGTAGAGTGTTTATAGCACGACGTGACAATCAATGGGAGTGCTAGTTCTTATAATCTACGTTGGTTTTGCTTCATTTGTTTGCAGTCTTGGGACACTATGGACCATGGATTTGGCTTCAGGAAAAATTATTGAAGTTGTTAAAGGTACAAAATTTATAGATTCCTTTCTTAACCTGATGTCAATGGGATTAAAAGATTGGTGTTATGAATAGGGCATTCAAAGATTATGGAGAACTATAGGCAGTTGTTCATGGACAGAGTGTCTGTTCTGAAACAGATACCTGATGGTATGTTGCAGCTGCAAAGAGATGCAAAGACTGTCACAGGGGGGCTACCGTACTTGGATCTTTTATCTTCTCTAACAACCTTTCAAAATTGCCTAATCATTTGCGACTCAGGTACCAATATTTCAATCGATAAATTGTTTTTCTGCTTAACCTATTATCTTTTACTAGTTTTTTTAGCCTGTACTTCTCTCTTGAAGTTGGACAGGTAATTATGAAATATAATAGAGAATCTGGTGAGAGCTCAAGCATCGAATTTTCAAATTTTGGGGTCCTTGGATTACCGTATTGGTTTGCTCCACCTCCAGAGAAGGTTATTTCGACGTAAGTGTATTTACTTGATTTGGGTGTCTGCAGCTATGTTTATGTTTCTGGATGGGGTTAATTTGTATTCTTCAAACTCATTTATCATCATCATCATCATCTTGGTGTTGTAGGTTTGGTCCTTTCTTCGTTTGTTCTGTTTTTAACCTCATTAACTTTTTGTAGATCCATTTTTGTTGATACTGCAGTGCCGATAGTTTCCAAGGAGCAGGGATTGATCATATTCACTTTTTCAGACTACTGCCTGGTACTTTCTTATTGGAGATTGACGTGTTAGATTTACGATTTCCTCGATAGCAGTTTAGTTCAGTCGTAGCTCTAGTATGGTTTTCCACTTGGACCTGGTTTAGGAGATTTTGTGTTACAATATCTGTCTTCATTGTAGACTTAGTCTTGTTAATTATACGAATTTTCACTGTGCATACAGGTAAGGTTGGTATACATATCAATGTTGATCTTCCTACAGATATTGAACTAGTGGAATCAATACAAGAAGACAGCATATGGCGTCAGACAAGAGGAACTGCAACTGAAATTTCAATCGTCGAGAAAGTTTCTGAGCTCTCAGAAAAGGTAACCTTGCTATGCACTTATTGTTCAAGTGACATTTTCTTGTTTCTAGAATATCTGTTAGCGTTCGTGTGGTGTAGGTCGGTTCGGCTCAACAGTGGTATGATGAATTGGATAGTCTAGCCTTTTCACCGCAAGAATCAGAAGTGGTGGAAGATAATGTAAGAGCTGTTAACCATATTGGAGACGATAAGTTTCAAATTGAGTGTGCTGTCAATACAAGTCCTGGAACTAGCGAGGTATGAAGGCTGTCTTTTCTTTATTTTAGGAAACAGAGTTATATCATTAATTAAGCAAACTGGCACTGGCATCTCTTCTCATGTATAGTCATCAATTTTGTCCCTCTTTAATTAATTAGTTCACTTTCGCATAGTTATTTTTGTTGAGGATTGTTGGGAGGGAGTCCACACATTGGCTAACTATGAGGTTGATCATGGGTTTATGAGTAAGGAATGCATCTCCATTGGTATGAGGCCTTTTGGGGAAACCAAAAGCAATGCTATGAGAGCTTATGCTCAAAGTTGACAATATCATACCATTGTGGAGAGTCTTGGTTCCTAACATGGTATTAGAGTCGATGTCCTTAACTTAGCCATGTCAATAGAATCCCCAAATGTCGAACAAAGAAGTTGTGAGTCTCGAAAGTGTAGTCAAAGGTGACTCAAGTGTCGAACAAAGGGTGTAATTTGTTCGAGGGGTCTAGAGGAGTCGAGTCTCGATTAAAGGAGGGTTGTTCGAGGTCTCCACAGGTCACCAGGAGGCACTATGGCGTACTTTGCTTGAGGAGAGGATTGTTAAGGGGAGGGAGTCCACACATCTGCTAATTAAGAGGTTGATCATGGGTTTATAAGTAAGGAATACATCTCCATTGGTATGAGGCATTTTAGGGAAACCAAAAGCAACACCACGAGAGCTTATGCTCAAAGTGGACAACATCATATTATTGTGAATTGTCATGATTCCTAACAATTTAAACCTAAATAGGGGTCCATCTTTTCACACGCACGCTCGCACACACCTCCACCTGAGTCGTGGTTTATTTTCAGTTGATAGTTCCTCGCACCTCGAAACTATTTTAGGAAAAATAAGACGGAAGATAAAACTAGCCATAATTTTGAAACAGGTTATAGTATATGCAGCTGTATATTTAAGGCATAGAAGAGACCAAGATTGGGAAGGCAATGGTGACAAACAAGCAGCAGCAGCAGCCAGGATAGCAGATTTATTGTACCCAGGAAGTAGAGGGAAGAGGATAAAAGAGAGCTGCATTCAGTTCCTCCTTGTAAACTGTAAAAGAGACCTGAGAGAGGTGGTTTTTGTGAAACCTTTGCATGTGAGGATAAAGCTGGATACTATGGCGCACCCTAAAGCTGATAATTCCAAAGGTATTATCCTTACAGACTCCTCTGTAGAACTCAATTTATCTCTTGCCTCCTAAGAATAGATCATTATTTTGGTACCTTTTTTGTGGCTTATTGTTTTCTTATTCTATGGTCATTCTATTGTTCTAATGGTGGAACAATATTGTTTATTATTATTAATTTCTTAAATTATTGGGTATTAGGTCCTCCACATTATTCTCATGATTGATTCCTCCATCCCACCGTTCATTTTTAATTATTGGAACAATATTGTTAATTTTCGATCGTTCATTTCTATCGTGAAATTCGTAGATTTTGTGAATATTTTTATAGGTTCTCAACATTATTCTCATGATCTATCTTCCTCCATCCCACCCTTCATTTTTAATTATTGGAACAATATTGTTAATTTTCCATCGTTCATTCCTATCGTGAAACTAATGGGTATGTTTTCATTGATTTTGGATTCGTTTAGGGATTAGTTTGATGGTTCAATGAGTTTCTATTGATCGCTTCTTGATGTGCAAAAAAAGTAACTGCAATATGATATGTTAACAAATTGTATATGGATCATGTTGTTGGAGAGTACCTCCAATTGATTCAAGTTTGAGTTTGGGTGGATAGAAGTAGATTTTGTTTATGCTATTGAATATATTTATAAATTTTCTTTATTTATATATATATATAAGGTTTATTGTAATGCCTTTGATCCACCGCTAGGAGATATTGTTCTCTTTAGGCTTTCTCTTTTAGATTTCTCCTCGAGGCTTTAAAATGCGTATGCTAGGGGAAGGTTTCCACACCAATGGTGGCTTGTTCTCCTCCCCAACCAATGTGAGACATCACAATCCACCTTCTGTAGGGCCCAGCGAGGATGCTGACACTCTTTCCTTTTGTCTCACAATCCACCCTCTTTAGGGTCCAGCAAGGACGTTGACACTCTTTCCTTCCGGATTGTGATGTCCCACATTGGTTGGGAGGAGAACAAGTTACCATTTATAAGGGTGTGGAAACATTCCTCTAGCAGACGCATTTTAAAGCCTTAAGGGGAAGCTCGAAAGGGAAAGTCCAAAGAGGACAATATCTGCTAGCGGTGGATTTGGGGTGTTACATTTATTCATTTTCACATTGTAAAAAATCTACAAATATCTTCCAAAATGTTGGTTGGTTATGAAGAATTTGACGCCTCACTTTCTCCCCGTAATAGAATATATGTGCCCTTTAATGCAATCTTCCACTATACCATCTTTGATTTAGCCCCTTAATTTCGATTCTATTTTTTTAATTGTGATATCAAATTTCAATATCATTTGTTTGTTCCTCCATTGCGAGTGATATTGACGATCGATATGAGAGAAAAGTTGAACGAACAGGTAGGTGAGAGAATAACAAAATTCACTAAAATGGGTGAGTCAATGAGAATTTGGTTGAGATGAAATTACAAAATATGATCACGAATTTTGGAGTGAGGTCATAAATTCATTTTTATTTTCTATTGTCAAATATGTTAATGCATTCCATCATAGTTTCCCCAATTCTTAGTGATTGATTATGATTTTGGGTACGTAAACATAACCTAAAAACCTATCCATCGATGGCAGGATCATCATTAAAACCATTATACATACTTACCGACCATTTATGAATTGACAGGACAAGAAATTTTGCTAGACCATTATAGTTATTGTCGTGTTCGTCAGGGCTTTAATCATCAGTTTTCTCTTTTTTTTTTTTTTTTTTTTTTTTTTTGGTCATCGAAGCGCCAACNTCCTTGATTTTTCGTTGTTAGGCGAACGTCATCATACTTGTCGACCATCTAAGAATTGATTGGACAACGAATTTTGCTACCTTAGGATTATTATAGTTATGGTCGTTGTTCACTAGGGCTTTGGTCGTCGTCTCTTCTAGCACCAAGTTCCTTGACCTATCGTCATTAGGCAAGTGCGTTTCTATATATATATATTTCTCTTTGTTTTTTTTTTTTTTTTTTGTTACCATTAATCAAGGTACATCTTTGATTTTTATTTTTTAAAAAAAAATCAAATTTTGTAGGTAAAAATAATAAATGTTAGCTTAATTTTTAGAAAAGAAAAGAAAAAAGAAAATCAACAGTTTTATTTTTTGTTTTTTATTTATTATTATTATAATTAAAAGAAGATTGGAAATTTTTTGGATGTTTTTTGACGACGAACAATCATTTGACGATTCTTCAAGGTAGAGGTCACTGCTACGTCCCAAGAATATTTTCTCTCAATTTCTTCTTTGGGTTCCCGTTGATTCGCCGCCTAGGTTACATTTTTCTTCTCCGGTTCTTTCATTCTACCGCATGAATCTTCCATTGGCCTAAATTTCCCGTGGTTTCAGTCTTCCTGATGCGTCTCTTTCACGGGAGTACCAAAATTGACGACTGGATTTCATGGTGTGCACAGGAAGATGATAATTCCATAACGCTTCTATGATTTCTGATGCATGTGTTTGCCTTCGGACCTCGATCGTTATTTAGATTGCAAATCTGCGCTTTTCCATTTCGATGATACTTGTAAATATTACCTTCTTCTGGAATTTGATTGCACTCTGTTCTGATTCGTGTTCTTTTCTTCTTCCTTGTATTTGAGTGTCTTTTTGGTTGCGTTCAGGTTAAATTTGCTTTGGAGAGTGAAATTTATGGCTGCGTTTTGTTATAAACAAAGAAGAGGTTTGTCTTTTTAGGGTTTTTGTGGTTTGGATTTGGGATAAATTGTATCTGCTTTTGCAAGAGATGAAAAATGAAGTATGGAGATGGGGAATCGGTTTGTTTTACATATTTTTGGTCGCAACCATATGGATAGCTGCTAGTTTTGTGGTTCAATCCGTTGTTGATGAAGGTGTTTCACCCTTCCTTGTTACATACATCTGCAATTCATTGTTTGTTATTTACATCCCCATTGTTGAAATTGCACGCTTCTTGGAGGATAAGTATGGAAGTTTGTTGTTTTGGAAACACAAAAACTTTGATGCATTACAAGAATTGAGGGAGGAACCAGAGCAGGCCATACTTCTTGGAGAAACCGATCTTGTTACAAATGCTGATCATTACAATCCCTCCCTGCATATGCATTTGGAAGATGGACGACCAATTTTGAAGGGAGAAAGTATACTTTCAGAGACAAGATACTCATCTCACGACAAACAAGTGGATGAAAAAGGGCGTTGGACACGCACGAGAGTAGCGAAAGTTAGCTTATTGATTTGCCCTTTTTGGTTCCTTGCTCAGCTCACTTTTAATCTATCATTGAAGTATACTACTGTTACAGTAAGTGATGATCCAGTTCCTCTCTTTTGTTATATTGGTCATTGCTGATTTTATCACATTGGATTTCATAGCTCCCTTTCCTTTGTTTTATTGTAGTCGAATACTATCCTTAGCAGTGCTTCCAGTCTCTTTACATTTTTGGTTTCTCTAGCATTTTTGGGTGAGCAGTTTACATGGGTGAAGCTCGCCAGTGTTCTCCTTTGTATGGGAGGCACAATAATTGTCAGCCTGGGAGACTCGCAATCTGAGACGACGTTGAAGACTTCTTCAAATCCTCTACTTGGTGATGTTCTTTCTCTTGTCTCAGCAGGTTTATATGCTGTATACGTTACCCTTATTCGCAAGAAACTGCCGGATGATGATGAGACGACTGGCAAAGCTAGTATGGCACAATTTCTTGGGTTCCTTGGGCTTTTCAACCTTGTTATTTTCCTTCCTGTTGCTCTTATAATCAAATTCGCTGAAGTGGAACCATTTCACTTGCGGACTTGGAAGGAAGTCGGCATGATTGTTGCTAAAGGTCCGTAAACATCTTTACCAGACTTAGTTATTCTTTTTCGTTGATTTTTATGGGATTGTTAGCTCTCTGCACCTATTTGAAGCTTGTATGCTCTTTGTTTTGGATGAAGGTTCAACGTATTAAATCTTGAATAAACGTACTTTCGTAAAATACACATGATTTTTATGAATCTTTCCATTGAACATGGTGCATTAGGAGATTCTAATCCCTCTTGGTGGATAGCCTTACACAAAAGAAATTCCTTTGTAACTACAGCCTGTTAATGATTATTAGGGATTGGTAGGCTCTTTTTGTGTAGTGTGTAGTAGTTGGGAGGGGGTGCTCTCTACTCCCGGCCCCTTGGCTGTTCTTGCTTCTTCTTTTGAAATATATACCCCTTTGATGTTTCTTATAAAAAAATTAGGAGGGCAGAACCTTTGGGTGGCTAATTATCACAACGTAAGCACTATTTAGTAGATGTTTGAACTTGACTTGCAAGAATCCGATCTCTTATTCATGGTGCTTGGGCACTTGATTGTTTCAAACCCACCCTCATAGATGTCATGCATGGAATTGTTTGAAAACTTGGTCTTGTTATATAAGCATTTTGCAACATCATAAACTATGCATGATGAAGGACGCATTAAGAGAACTTGCAGTACGAGCTGAGGGCTAGCCTTCCAATGAAGAGTTTGCAACGGCTTTTTAAGAAAATTACTTTTATGTGATAGCACATGTTCTATACTTTTTGGAAGTAGCCTTAACAATAATTGAGTGCTTTTTCAGTGTTTTTAATCGGCCCAGATATACTTTTCACTATTCCAAAAGTCATCCCAAACTAGCCCCAAGTACTGTAATGCATTGCAATAAAGATATTGCAATTGTAATGACTGCTTAGAATTTACTTTTAGCACCGTTCCCGAAGTGATTCCATGTTTGCTGTTTCCTCATAGTTCTTGACAAATCTTGTATTGCCTTATGTACACCAAGTTTGTTCATAACGACCCAAGCCTACCGCAAACACATATTGTCTTCTTTGGGCTTTCCCTTCCGGATTTTCCCTCAAGGGTTTTAAAACGCGTCTGCTAGAGAGAGATTTCCATGCCCTTGTAAAGAATGTTTCGTTCTCCTTCCCAACCGATGTGGGATCTCACAATCCATCCCCCTTTGAGGCCAGCATCCTCGCTGACACTTGTTCCCTTCTCCGATTGATGTGGGACCACCCAATCCACTCCCCTTCGGGACCTAGTGTCCTTGCTAGTACACCGCCTCGTGTCCACCTCCCTTCTAGGCTCAGCCTCCTCGCTGACACATAGTCCGGTGTCTAGCTCTGATATCATTTGTAACAATCCAAGCCTACCGCTAGCAGATATTATCTTTTTTGGGTATTCCCTTTCGGGCTTTCCCTCAAGGTTTTTAAAACGCGTCTGC